ATATATACACACACACACACACACATACATATGTGTGTGTATTTTAACAAATGTCTATAGGAATAGTCCTTTTTCCACTGCTGTCCATTTTAACACACAGCCTGTGAAAACAATAAAAAATCTAAATTAATACTGAAGTTTCTGATGTATGTACTATGGTACAGCATTTCAAAATACTAGAGAAGACATACAGTAAATGGCACTTTGAAGGGATCTGGATCTTGATGAGCCATTTGTTTAATAGAACCGTTCAAAAGAGCCATTCAGTTTTGAATGAATTATGTCATCACATACACAGTAAAAACTGAAGTATTAAAATTACGGTGTTAAACTTTTCAGAATTAATTTCAGCTCCCCAAGTGTTATTTTAACACTTTCTGAGTAAATTGACATCCAGTGTTGGTGTTAATTCACAGAGTTGATTTCATCAGTGTTGTCTCAACTCTGCACAGTGTTAAATAAGCTCCACCCACTGTTAAGTCTTGATTAATACTTAACAGTGTTGTAAAAAGGAAAAGAAAAATTTAGTATTACACAATAAAGTGTACTTTTAAAAGTTAATTTTGTGTAAAATTAACTCCACAAAAATAACAATATTACTCTTTAGGGTAAACAAACTATAGAGTTAAATTATTTTACTTGTTTCATTGTTGACTTTGACATTAAAATGAGTAAAACTAACCATTGTTGACACAGGCTATAGAGTACATTTTACACTAATTTTGAGTGGGACCAAAAATTATATGAAACAGAATTAAATTAAACTCTACAGGTGTTAAAATGACACTTTGTTTTTTACTGTACATCATTATGTACGACATATGTCCTCACGTTACGTTAGGTGTTTTGCCAAGCAGAAACTGCCTCTCTTTTTCCCCCTGAGCTGCTGTACATCACCACTCTGCTTGTTTTCCATGAAAAAGCAAAGCAATCGTCTCTGTGTTTAAGGATGAAAACATAAAGAATATATGGCTCTTTACTGCCCGTGACTAAGCTCTTATTGTTTTTTGTGAGGAGCTGTTCAAAAGATTTGGATCATTCGTGAATGTCACATGTCTGCAAAATACCAAAGACTTTCCAAATATTTGTTTTCTTGTTTGAATATAGATAGATAAATACAGCGGGTAAAATAAGTATTGAACACGTCACCATTTTTCTCATTAAATATATTACTAGAGGTGCTAATGACATGACATTTTCACCAGATGTCGGTAACAACCAAAGTGATCCATCCATACATACAAAGAAATCAAACCTCCAAACGTCACTGTTGGTA